GAATGTAAAGATGAACCTTCAAAAGTTTATTCCTCCTCTCACTTCTAATAATCAGAGAATAAAGGAGGGGAGAAGTGACCAGAGTATATGTGGTTTTCATCCAACTTTTGTCTTGAAAGAGACCTCAGTATTTGTTGCAAAAATGAATGAAACAAACCCAAGCACAAAAATTTGTAAGTCTAAAACTGTACCTCATGGTGTCTCACTAATAAAAATTAAAAAAAAATAAATGAATTAAACAAAATGATAGAGCCCGCATAGAAGTTCTAGAAGGATGAAAAGCATGATGAAAGATGAAAAACACGCAAATATTGACTTCTCATGGAATTGAAAGGTTAAATCTGTGAATCTTCTGTGCTTCTTTTAGTGTGGTTTCCTTGTGGTTTTTAATTCATAGAAGAGCTGATGGAATGGTTTGAGGTAGCAGTGCAGACAGAGGAATTCCCCAGTCCTGACTTTCAGGCTAAGCTATCAGACTCTCACTCTCTTGGTTTTGTTCCTCAATGTTCGGTTATTCAACAGAAAAGTACTGAGAGCCTACTGTGTTCTAGAAATGTCTTTAGGAATAAGAGAAAATTGTAATAAAATTAGGTGAGGTAGGCTGGAGATATGGTGCAATGAGTAAAGCACTTGAATGTAGCTTGAATGTGATGGACCTGGGTTCAATCCCTGGCACTTCATTTGGCCCCTTCACTTCATATGAGCACTTCCAAGAATGATCCCTGAGTGGAAGAGTTAGGAGTAAGAACTAAGAAACACTGGTGTCTCCCCACAAGACAAATCCTCCCCACAAAAGCACCTGCCACAGAAGCAAGAAGAAAGAGAAATGGCGTACATTGGTGGAGGGAAGTGGACACTGGTGAAGGGATTGATATGGAACATTATGGGCCTTAAATGCAATAATGCAGAAGTTTGTAGTTCATGATGACTCAATAAAAATGACAGGTAAAAAAAATCAGGCAAGATTTCTGCCCTCTTGTTGCCTGTGTTCTATCCAGTTTATTAGTCATAAGCAGGGATCTTTTAGTTTCCTTGTTTCCCTGAGTTCTTTGGAGGTGGGGTGGGAGGCTGTTTGACCACAGCAGGTGGTACTCAGGGCTTATTCAGGCTCTGTGCTTAGGGGTCACTCCTAAGGGACTATATACAGTAACAGTTACAGAACTAGGACCAAATGTGTGCAGGGCAAGCACAAGGCAAGCACCTTAATCCGTACACTATCTCTCTGGCTCTGCCCTGCTTTATGTTTCAGAATTTTTTTAAAATTATGGAACATTTTAAGTGAATATGAAACATCAAAATAAGTGTTATCTTTCAAATTGTCCAGCTTCTATAATGGTCCATCTTAGCTTACTGATACTCCACCTTTCTTTAACCCATTTAAAAAAATTTTTTTAACCCCATTTTAAATTATTTTGATAGCATCACACCTCACTGCCAGATGGTTTTTTTCTTTCTTTTCTTTTTGGGTCACACCTGGCGATGCACAGGGGTTACTCCTGGCTCTGCACTCAGGAGTTACTCCTGGCGGTACTCAGGGGACCATATGGGATGCTGGGAATTGAACTCAGGTCGGCCACGTACAACGCAAACGCCCTACCCGCTGAGCTATCTCTCCAGCCCCCTGCCAGATGGTTTTTAATATTACCTGTATTTTCCTTCAGATACTGAAATTTGTATTTATCTGCAATCATCTGTGGCAGTTTGTACAGGAGACTGTGTGTGTGCATGTGCGTGAACATGTAACACAGACGAATATCCATGACATGTCTTTTTAATATTATGATTATTAGCGACCACACCATAAAGTGTTCCACAGCATCTCAGAGCAAGACATGGAGTTGTTTTTATCAACTACAGATATAAACAAAGTGACCACTGAAGAGCTGGTGATTGTCCCTCTATTTTATTTTTACCACAAGTTCTTTGATTCTCCTAAGAGGGAACAGGTAGCCTGTCCAGGGCTTCCAGTATAAACTGTGAGCAAATGCTGATGTGCTTTTCTTGAATTACCTAAGGACAGAGTTTTAGAAAATTAGTTAAAATAGTTAAAAAGTCTAGTTGAAAAGATGAATCAGGTTCTTGTTTACCTAACCTGATATCCTCTCACATATCTCTGACCTTTTGGAAGATCCTGGTTGTTTCTTAACTCAGGAACTTCCCACAGGCTATTATACTGTCTGGAATATTTCCTTCTCAATCTTGTTTCACATGAATAACTCTACTTATTATTTACTTTTCTTAATATGAGAATATTCTGTCCTTAGAGAAACCGTGATTGAGCTTTCCAAGTCTGTTTGTATAATGGTTCGTATTTCTATTTTATTTTATGCCTAATAATATTGAAAATCATAAAAAAATTCCCTAAAAATTGATTTGATAAATGTTCTTTCTATATTAGGTTCAAAATTCCCTAAGGCATATGTCTTTTTTTGGGGGGGTGGGTGGGGGCGTGTATACACCACTGTAAGGAATAGTTACAGAAAATCTTCAGTTAATATTCATTGAATAAAGAATTTAAGAGTTAAAAACTGGAGATAAAAGAAATAACTTACGAAGCTGTAGTTATCAAAAAAGAGGACACAGGAATTTGATTTAGAGCATTACATGGAAGATGAAAAATATGTAAATTTTTTAAAAATGCTAGTGGCCAGATACATGGTTTAGTGGTAGAGAACTTGGATTGTTTGTGTGATGATTCAGAATCAGTTTCTGCTGCACTAAAGCCAAATAAAAAAAAAAAAGCAAACCTCAAACCAAAAAAGAAAACAAAAATCAGCCAAAGAAAGAAACAAAAACAGTGCTACACAGGCCAAAGGTCTATTAGAATCTCTTGGAAAAGATTACATTAATTTGAGGTGGTGACTCTATGCATTTCCTGCCTGCCCTCAAATTCTATGCTCCTGTACATGCAACCCTGAGGAGTTCTTTATTTTTTCTTTTTAGTTGGTGGTAAGACCTGGAGATTATGTTTTTCTAAGATGAAAATCAATAAATAAATCTGAAATTAAAAAATATGGTGACAGGAATAGCTTTAAGAACTGGGCTAGAAGGGATGTTTAGATTTTGTTAATTTTAATTTATAAAAATAAGAGAGGCTGTAGAGATAGTACAGGGGTTAAGAGGCTTGCATTGCAATGGTGGCCAAGCTTGGTTCACTTCAGGCACTTCCATGTTTCCCTGAGCACGGCCAAGGGTCACTTCTGGGTACATTCATGTTGTCAGGCAACAATCATTATGGTCATTTTCTAGGACTTTTTTTTTTTTTTGCCATCCTCAGCTGAAACTCGATGCATTAAAAACTAACCCCCCATTTTCCCCGAACCTTCCAATCCTTGGAAACTTCATTCTGCCTCCTGCGCCTAGGAGTCCGGCTACTCCTAAGACCTTAGGTACTCATCTTAGCGGCATCAAGCAATATTTGCCCTCTTGCATCTGGTTCACTCAAGAGATGAGCTAGATCATTTTATCCAGCATACTCTGAAGAGTTGGATTCTAATTTGCATCCTACTCTATGCGCTCTATTTTTAAAGTCGGGGTGTGTGGGATATTCTCCACTTGTTGCTTAAGGACACACGCCTCTCTGGGAAATTATAAACAGCGCTAACAGGCAATTTCATTTACCACTGCCTGCCATAAAGAGCTTTTATTGGTCGGCGTGTCTTTAGATTGTGAATTATTTCCATCCCATTATAGTTTATGAGTACCAGACCTTTTGTGGAAGTCTACGTAGTATCTTCACGGTAATAAAGAAGTTAATAGAGTAACTCCGACAGAAATCAAACTTGTCTTACGACCATGCTGCAAGGCGCACTTCCTCTCTCTCTCTATGCCTATCAGGGAATGGCTTTGCACCATAAAAACAAAACAAAAATGGTCAAATAACACTAAAGTACTATTAGCGATAGGGACCACTTGGCTGACCTATAGCGTGGGGGGAGGGGGAGCAATAATGTCAATGGCTGGAAATGATGGGTGAACTAGGCTTCCTCACCTTTCCCTTGCGGGGATCCCTGTGTCTTTTAGCGCTTTGCCAACCAAGTCGGGGTCGGCGGGGGGGGGGGGGGGGGGGATTGTGGACAAGAACCTAACCCTGGGGAGTGGGAACGCCATCGCTCCGTGCAGCGCGTGTCCCCACAATCTCATCCCTAGCACACACCGAGCCGAGGATGGGCCTGCAGGGCTTCGGAGGGAAACGGTGGCTGCAGGGGCACAGACCTGCGCCCTAGGGTGCCCCTGGCTGCAACGGGGCCAGGCATGGGGCGACGCAGCGCTCAGACCTGCGCCACCGGGACGCCCCGCGCCCGTGCGCTAACGAACCCGGCGCCAACGGCCGTGCGAGAGCAAAGGCCTTTCCGGTCCCCCAGCCCAACGAGGCGCCCGGGCCGCGGGGAGCCGTACCAACTCGCCCCCCGAAACCCCACCGCCCGCACCTCGCCCCGCGCGCTCTCCCGAACGCTCTTACGTCTCTTCCCGGCAGGCGCCGGGCGCCACCGCGAGACTGGAGCCCTGTCTCGCGAGACTTCGCGGCAGCCATCTTCTTGGGGGTGCTGGGAGCCGGGGAACGACCCCCCGAATCGTTCCCATTGAGCCGCCCTTCGTCGTCGCTTTCTGCCCGGGTGCCTCTTCGTCGTTGCCCGCCCGCCCGCGCCTGGGGTGGGGTGGGGGGGTGGTCCCGAGGCCGAGCGCGAGAGCCCGGGCCCGCGGCGCGTGTCGCCGCCGCCGCCGTGTCCGCGTCTCCCGAGCCGCGCCGGGGCTTGGAGGGAAAGGGGAGGGCCCGGGCCGGACCGTTGCTGCCGCGCTAGCCCGGCGCTGGGCTGCGTGCGTGTGTCTGCGTGTGTGTGTGTGCGCGTGTGCGTGTGTGTGTGTGTGTGTAGGGGGGAGTCGCACCCCCCCTCCCGGGAACGCCCGGCCTGTGGCCCCCCCCGCCCCCCGCGAACGGCCCGCCGGTACCTGCCAGCCGGCGCCTCCCACCGCGGCCCACGCGGGCGGCGCGCGGAGGCGGGGGCGGGGGCCGCGGCGGCCGGAGCGGCCGCGACCGGGGCGGGCGGACGAGCGGCGCCGGGCCTCGGGGCCGCCCTGGATGGTTTCGAAGATGATCATCGAAAACTTCGAGGCGCTCAAGTCCTGGCTCAGCAAGACTCTGGAGCCCATGTGAGTAGTGTGTGTGTGTGTGTGTGTGTGTGTGTGGGTGGGTGGGTGGTGGGGGCGGCGGCCAGCTCCTTGCAGGGATGGGGAATTGGGGGAGAGGGCGGACATCCCGGAGCGTGCTGGTGCCTCCATCCCCCCAAGTTCCTGCGATGGAGGACGGAGCGGCGAACGGAGGGCTCAGGGGCTCGCTGCTGCTGCTGCTGCTGCTGCTGCTGCTGCTGCTGCTGCTGCTGCTGCTGCTGCTGCTGCTGCTGCTGCTCCCGCTGCTCCCGCTGCTCCCGCTGCTCCTGCTGCTCCTGTTCCTCCTGCTCCTGTTCCTCCTGCTCCTGCTCCTGCTCCTGCTCCTGCTCCCGCTCCCGCTCCCGCTCCCGCTCTTGCTCCTCCTCATCCTCGTCGTCCTCTTCCTCCTCCTCCTCCTCCTGGTCCTCTTCTTCCACCCTTGCCCTGGGTTTCAGGATACACACCCGAAAGCCTGTCTGTCTTTCTTCTCTCTCTCTCTCTCTCTCTCTCTCTCTCTCTCTCTCTCTCTCTCTCTCTTTCTCTTTCTTTCTTTCTTTCTTTCTTTCTTTCTTTCTTTCTTTCTTTCTCTTTTGTCACTCCGTTTGAGCCTCCAACAGATGGATGTCGGCTGCGACTGTTTTCCCGTTATATGTACTGACCCCCCCATCCGTCCCTCCCCTGCCCAGCCATGCACACGAATCTCTCTCTCTCTCCCCCCCCCCCCCCCTTACCCTCCCCTTTCCCCCTTCGAACCTCTTCTTCCGCTCTCCCTCTTCTTTCTGTCTCCGGTTTGGGACCTCCCATCAGATCGTTTCTTGTAGGGAATCTGAATCCCTGCCCACCCTGGATTATATTACGTCTTTTTTTTTTTTAATGGAAGCCCTAGGAGATTGGAACACTTTCTCTCTCTCTCTCTCTCTCTCTCTCTCTCTCTCTCTCTCTCGCTCCCGCTCTCTCTTTTTAACCTACGTACAGACTCGGAAAGCAAGGGAAGTGCGCCTTTTCTAATTGGAGAAGTAACAGGTGGGAAGGTACCCAGTAAAATTCCCTTCGCCCACCTACGCGACGCGCTTGGCTTGGCGAGAGGAAGAAAATGCAGTGTGACCATATGGCGTCTCCAGCAGCTTTGGAGTGCCACGACTCCTCCAGTGTGTAGGACCGGGGAGGGTTCAGACTGCCGCAACGTCTTCATTTGAGAAAATTCAGCGAGTCTTTTAAAAGATGCATCTCTTGAAACGTTAAAGGGAGGAGCGGTAGCATCTTGACTAGTGCTTTAAAACGACAGGACTGATTACAGGACCTTAAAATGCACCTTGGACATTTACTAAGCACCTCCTTTACTGTGGGAGGCTTTGGGGCAGGACTTAATTCCACTGTCGAGATGTAAGAGCAAGTAAGGTAAATCGCAGTTTTGGGATAGGTCTTTCCAATTCCACTGTCAAAATTTAGGAGACAAGTAAGGCAAAGCACATTGATGTTTGTAATAGTAATAGAGGATCATTTCAGAGAGTGCTTAGAAGGCTTCTCAGAAGAGGTGATGTATTAGAAATGTCCAAGGAGGTAAAGAAATTGCATGTTTCTTTACCTCCTTCCCCTAACAACAACGTTTAGGGAAGGTTGCAGCAAGTGCGAAGGCTCTAGAGAAGGAATGATAGTGGTGGGTTCCAAGAGAAGGAACATTTGTGGCAATATGGCCCTTCGTGATGGGAAGAGCATAAAAAGCCACCAAGTCAGAAAAGCAAGCAGGAGCCAGTAATGTTGGATCATTCAGGCTGTGGTCAAGAATAAGGATTTATTGTGGCCATAGAGATACTACAGCAGTTAGGGCGTTTGCCTTACACATGGCCCACCCTTGTTCTATCCCCAGCATTCCATATTGTCCCCGGATCACTGCCAGGAGTAATGTCTGAGTATAGAACCAGAAGTAATCACTAAGCATCGCTGGTGTGACCCAAAAAGCTGGGGGGAAAAAGGCTTTAGCTTATAAAGGGTGGACATGAGATGATTTAAAGCAGGCGAGGAGCAATTGTGGAGATGGAAATAAGGAGACCATTCAGGAGGGCACTAACAGACAGAGATGAAGGTAGTTTGTGTTCGAGTGACAGTGTAGACAGAACCAAATGTTTTTTAAGTAAAGCTGATAGACATCTTGATGGATTGAATATGGGAGATGAGGAAAGGGAAAATGACTTAGGACTTAAGATGTGATCCTAAGCAGCTGTTTCATGGCAGAGTTAGGCTGGAAAGAACAGATGGAGGGAAGAAGGTAGGGTGGCTGGATATGAGCACTAGTATTTGGAAATAGTCTGGAACTCAGGTCAGAGAAACTTGGAGTCACATAGAAAGAGTCGGAAATTGCCCCCAGGAGAGTGTGTAGATAGGAAGAGCGTGTGAACTGTGAGATAGGAGGAAAACTGTCACTGAAGACTGCGTGACGCAGGAGACAAGCAGGCAGGTACGGTCCCTGTTCGTGTGGTGACCTCACAGAGTGGTTTCTCCAGAGCAGGCTGCTGCGGATAGAAGCCCTGTCTTGGTGAGGTGGGAGTGGGCCTCAGTGGACCTGTAGTTGAAGAGGCAGCACCAGGTTCGCAGTGGCCTCCTGGGCATGCTGTATCCACTCTTCAAGGTGTTGGGTGCTGGATAGGCTGCTTTGCTCACCGGCTCTGAATGGGGGAAAGAAGCCATTTTATTTAAAAAAAAAAAAAGAAAGGCCTCATTAGTACACAGTCAGTATTAGGTGAATAGTAAACTGTAAAATATTTTAAGTTGAAATAGCATTCTTTTAAGCCTTGAGTTTTTAAATCCTTATTTCCCTTTTCCCCCTAGCCTTAAAGATGAAAGTCACTTAGTATGTATACTTAATGTATATCAAAGGGAGGACAGGTGATACAAGTGATCCTTAATATATATATACTTAGTGTCTTTATTTAGTTTTTTGTAAAGTGTACTCAATGTATCACCTACTCAGAGATTGTTACATTGCAGTCATTACAGTTGGAATGAATCAGGCACTACCACTAGTGGAGTGCAAACAATGATGGGAGTTGGGATTGGGCCTTTTACAATGTTCATAGTTGTAAATTTAAGCCCTTATCTTGGTCTTACTTCTATTTGACTTTTTTTTTTTAATTGAACCACTGTGAGATACACAGTTACAGAGTATTCATAACTGGGTTTCAGTCAAACAGTGTACATCTCTTCATCAGTGTACATTTCCAACCACCAAATTCTGTTTCCCTCCTGCCAGGGATGTGTCTGTCTCTCCCTCTCCCTCTCCCCTCGTTCCTCCCTCTCCCCTCGTTCCTCCTCCCCTTTGTAATACAGGTACTGACTGGTTATCACATGTCTAATATACCTTTACCTTCTCTCAGCATCAATTCTTGTCTAGAGTGATCATTTCCAACTATCATTGTAATTGACTCATTTTAGATAGTGACTGACTTACAAAAAACGTATTCAGATTAAGACCTGTTAAAGACCTCAAGATGTATTAACGGTTATTTCCCCCCTTTCTTTAAACTTTGCTAAATAGCATGTATTTGAGAAGCATTTGAAAGTGCATAAGATGTAACTTAAAACTTTGGAGGGGGACTTGAACTATGGAACAGTAGGCAAGGTGCTTGCTTGTGTTGTACGCAGCTGACTTACAACTGACTTAGCATCAATTCGCAGCACCACATATGGTGCCCCAACAGAACTGATCCTTGAGCTTATGGTCCAGGAGTAAGCTGGTCCACAAACCACACGCCCCCCCCCCCCCATCCCCAAAAGGAGAAAACTTAAAGTGGTAAATTTGGTAAATACATAGAGGTCTGGGAGTTGCTTTCAAAGGGCTGTGGCACGGGCTTTGCATATGGGCGCCATAGGTTTCATCTCTCAGATGGCTTGGTTCCCTCTGAGCATGAGCACTGCTAGGAGTGGCCAGCTAGCTTCTGAACTCTGCTGGATGGGACTCCCAAACCGAAATTAAAAATTAAAAAAAAAAGACCACAAACTTGAGGGCCTTTTTATACTACTGGTGCTAATAAGTAAATTATTTTATCCATACATTTGAATATATTAATATAGCAAACATTTATAACATTTATTGCAGATCTGCTCTGTGTGCTAAGCAGTGTGTGTTAGATATTATGGAAACGAGAATCAACATAAAATGACTATCTTCATGTTCTTTACTGTTTAGCAGGGAAGACATGCTGAATGTGTAATTACAGGTCTAGTGAGTACCGATTGCTGTTGAAGTATATGTCTAAGGAGTTTAGAATGGCTTTCCTGGCTGATGACATTTAGTTTCAGCCGGGAAGGATGAAGAGTACTTTGCTAGAACTTTGAGAGTGAGGGGCTGAAGAGATAGTACAGTGGGTTGGGTACTTGCGTTGTATATGGCCAACATGGGTTTCATCCCCAGCCTCCCATATGGTCCCCTGAGGCCCTGCCAGGAGGTAAGTCCTGAACACAGAGCCAGGAGTAACCCCTGAGCATCACCAGGTAATGGGCCCAACCCCCCTCCCACCCCAACCTCCCTCCCCCAAAAAAGTTTGTGAATGGAGGTACTAAGGGAGCATTTTATTTTTTTGGTTTGTTTTTGGACCAAACCTGGTACTTCTTGGGCTTACTCCTTGCACTACACTCTGCAGTCACTCCTGGAGATGTGAGGGGGATCCTATACTGTGGTAGGGTGCAGGGGATCTAATTGATGGCCTTGTGCAAGGCAAGTGCTTGCCTTAATTCCTGTATACTCTCTCCTGCCTCCCATCTAGGCTTTGGAAAAGGTTATAGGAAAACCCAAAAAAATGACAAAAAAAAAAGTTTTGGAATTGAAAGAAATTTAAAGCAAGAGAAGGGGAATAACAGCATTGAATAATAACTTTGGAGAGAGGGAGCCAGATCACATGGGTGTTTGTCGAGTCATGTTAAGGATTTTGTTGTTATTGAAAGATTGGGGGAAGCCAACAGAGGATAGTTTTCAGGTTGACGTTAAAAAAAAACCCGATTACTTTCTT